TTTGGTAAAAGCTTTACTTAAAGATATGTGATTCACGATGCCTTTTACATTTTTTTTGTTGTTATTGTAATTTATTCCGAGCTTAGCATATATATTATTCTAACCTTTCAATTTTCAAATTTTCAGAAGCATCTTGTAGTTGAAATGTACCGCTTTTTTTTTATTATAAGTTTCGAATATATTGGAGAAATAATTTCTTCCTTTCCGTTTTGAATCGAAAAATTTCTTTATCTAATCACGACGCCTTTTTTACATTTTTGTATACTTCACGATTTTTTTTTTTTGGTAAAAGCTTTACTTAAAAATATGTGATTCACGATGCCTTTTACATTTTTTTGTTATTGTAATTTGTTTCGAGCTTAGCATACTTATTATTCTAACCTTTCAATTTCAAATTTACAGGAGCGTCTTATGTTGAAGTGTACCACATTTTTTTTTATTATAAGTTTCGAATATTGGAGAAATAATTTCTTCCTTCTATAGATCCTGAAGATTTGGGACGCTAACTTAAGCCTAGAAATAATGTTTTTCTCAGAAACCTGAGAATTTCCCACAGGATCCAAAATTAGAACCTCTAGGGATATCTTGATTGACAAGATGGGGCAATGGCCTCATCTGTGGAGAGGGGGAATGATTGACGTGAAAAACAACAGATGTGCATGCAAGATGTTTTCGAGGGGGGAGGACATGTGGAAAACACATGTACAAGACATTAGCTGGAAAGTAGAAAAACAGTTAGAGCACAGTCCGCTGCCAGCTCTCGACTTGAAAGGTTGGTCTTACTATCCTCCCCGCTTTTGCGGGTAGTTTTTTTTTTCCGTCTTAAATATTCTATCTTCCTTTGTCTTTCATCATTACCTTCTTTATTATAAGATAAATGAAACTTATTTGTTTACTACAGTCTAATAATTTTTATATATTTTAATTATTTCCGTCCCACAGAACTTCCACTCAATAAGATTAAAGATATTTTGAATTTTATTAGAATGCTCTCTTAGCTATTCTTTAATCTTTATAATTTTTAACGTTGTCTAGATAACAATTCAAAGCATTTGTTTTCCTTTCTGATGTGCATTGACTTACGATTTATTTTATTTTAAATATTTTTTTTTCTCTGTATTTAAGGCCCCATGCCTAAAATGTTCCATCTCCGTTAGTTTCTCACAGTTAATTTCTAATTAGTAGGTCAATTCGACCTATTACAAGATTTAATGGATTTTATATTTGATTATTTTCTTTTTTGCAAATTGGTTCCACTTGATAAATCTGGAGATGTTTTGAACTTTGTTATTGACATAGTACACCTGGTCTTCTCTTATCTTTCCGATGTCGAGCATTATCAATGTAAACACAAAGATTTAAAATCTTTGTTTTTCTTATCTAGTTTGAAGGAAAAACGTACATTATCACATGGTTTAAGTTGATCTCATATAGGTTCACAATTAATCTTTTAATCTATTTTTCAAGTTATTTCATACTGATTTTTTTTTCTTTATTTCTATATATTTTAAATCTTTATTTATCCTAATAATTTCGCTTGTCATTTTATTTTGTCATCTTGTGATTTGCCGATTTCTTGCTAACTGAGACAATACTTACCTCGAAGTATTTTTTTTTTTCAACGTTTGGACATAATGTTCGTTTTACTATATAATTGTATGTATTTAGTTCTATTTATTCTCGCGTCTTTAGCTTTGTTTATTTAATTTTGCAGTCCAATTATTTTATCTTACATTTAGTAAAGTGATGCAGCAGTATTTATTGACATCATATATATGATTATATCTTAGCAACTTTAGGTGAGTCTGCATTATTTATTTTTTAATCTCCTTTCGCAATTAGGCATGCACACTTATTGATAATTTTTTTTAAGCAGACATTGAATAGATATGATGTATCCAGGGACAACCTCCATATTTTATTTCAATCTCTTGGGTATGGGAAGGAGAGACGCCTTTATAGCTTTAGTAGTTTGATTTTATTAAACAACTAAATATTGTGTGTATTATTCAACATTTCGTTTAAAGCATTCATCCTCTTGACCAAGGTACATTGTCATGCGCAGTTTTTGACTTTTATTTTTTTTGCCAACTTTATATGAATATACAAATTTTCTTTTAGAAAGTAACCCCGATATTGTAGACAAGCGTATAGCTTAGCTCGCTCCTTTAAATCGTTGAATTGCCAATTTATTCTCGATATGGTATAATTCACGATGTTTGCGTGACGATCGAATCACGATAAAATTTTCAAAATGGCGGTCGATGGACGCGTGTGTATTTACACTATAGAGTGGCTGTATATACACATAGGTGCCTATGGATTTGTTTAATTTTATTAAGGTCTCCAGTCATATTTTCTGTATTTAAGGCTTCACGCTTGAAATGTTCCATCCCCTCTTAATTCTTCACCATTATTTCTTTATAGGTTCAATATGACTTATAATTTGTAAACCAAGGCTTAACGATTTATTTCAAGTAATTTATCCAACACAAAATTTCCACTCGATAGATATGGAGGTATATATATTTTTTTTTTGGTTTGCCAGATTGTGCCTTTTGTCCTTTCTTATCTACATGGTATTTAACGTTTTCAATATAATGATCAAAAGCATTTATCCTCTTATTTAATGTATATGAGTCATGCGATTTATTTAATTTATAAACGTTTTCAATTATGTTTTCCTGCATTGGCTAGTGATCTCATCCTACAGGTTTAATAGCATGCTAGTATTTCTTTTCTTTTATTCGATAATATGATTGCTTATTTTTAATTTTATGTCCATATATGAACAGAATGTCCAGGTCTAGGTGTTCGCTTCGAATATCGATCGTAAACAAGTTTAAACATACCTTCCCGAAATTCTCTTCCTTAGCCTTTATTTCGTGTAATGATCTTTTTTTTTTTTTTTTTTGGTAACAACCAATATAGATTCCTGGAAACGCATACTAAATAAAAAACAGTATTTTTGATTATTTTGTTAACCTATATGAATGTGCATTTTCGTTTAAAACTTAACCCCGATATCTTAGGAAAGCATGTAGATTTGCTTGCTTCATCGAAACGTTGAATAGGATCATAATTTTTGATATGGCATAGTTTACTACAGATGATTACTTGTCGAAATACAATCACAGCGAACTTTCAAAATGGCGGCTAAAAGGACACGCCAGGCAACCGACTCTCATTCCATACTGTCTCCAACTATATATGATCTTAAATATCCTGTGTACACTGGTATGAGGTCACCTTGAAGTGTTATAAACGTGCAATATTTTTTTTCTAACTTAAGAAAGATTTCATAGATTCTTCTCGTCTGGAACATTTCCCCTTGGTCGAGGACAGATAAAACATCTCAATAAGTATTAAGTTACCGTAAATATTTGCCAGCAGAAGGCATGATGAGATTACACGAAATTAGGATCAGTTATATGTTTAGCTCTTGTTTTTGTTAATAATTCTGGACCTTTATAAGGCAATGAAAGGTGAGTATCAAGATATATTCTGATAGCCGAGTGTGTGCCTTTATCAAAGGAAGCAGTTATTCCGTTTAATGGGGATTACAATAATCATCGAATATTAACAAATCATCTTTGGTAGATATGAACAACTAAATGGTGCCATTTTTTCTTAAGTGTATTTATATTTTATTACTTAGTTATTTCGTATCCAATCTATTGGAGATCTTATCGTGTGATGATCCATGTACAGAATTTAGTAGGAATTTTTTTTTTTTGGAAGTAGTGAAATTCGCTGTTTCTTTCCCTAACTCCAGCCAAAGGACGAAATCGTTTCATTATATCTTGCATCCTTGGAAGCTAATAACATTATTTCAGAACTATATGCAATGTGCAAACCTAGCAACCTATCAAATGTATAGTTACGAATAACCTTAGATAAACAATAATAGTGAGCCTTGCACCTCGTGTATGTTTACACTTGACTGGTTTTTGATAAGCCCTTCTAGAAACCCTTAACTATTTCACCAACTCCAGATTGTTTGGACAGCAGAGGTCTATAACAAAGGAGGATCTTATAACAGGAGAACAGACCTAAGACTCGTTTCGACATCGGCTTTCATAGTTTTATGGAATGTGGTATTAGGCATTGGTAACCAGTAGCAAGGATTACATTTCTGGGAGATCGGGAATAGGCATAGAAGATTAAGAAGGATATCTTGCGTGGTATAAACAATGGACGTCGGAGCATGCAATTTTGTCTGTAGAAGCTCTATATTATATAATAGGACTATGATGCTCACGAAGGTGGACGTGAGTGAAGAGTAATATAAAGCATAATATCCCAATGGACGCCACCGAGCGTATAAACCACGTGACATGAATCTGCTGAAGGAAGGGTCACTGTGGTACTATGTAAAGAAATCATCGAAATTATATGCATCATTTATAGAATATAGAGATTTACTCTATATACATCCATCTGCAGGCGATGCACCTGGTTTTCGCTCAGATCTCACAAAATCAACTAATCGACATACCAAGTAAAGTGCGCAAGATATGGTAGAGCCAACCCGGATCTGATCAGATGTGTCTAAGCTCGGTTTCTCCTCCATCATACCACGGCATTCACTGCGACAGCCATGTCTTAACGAGACAAGATCTTTGATACCATTACAACATATACATGCTAAATGTCCAGCACTGTACCCTGACGAAATTCCGATAGGAAGGTGCGCTGAATCAAACCAGGTAAGGATAAAATACACGATATCATGATAGGTGTAAGAGGGATAAGCCAACAATCGACAGCAATTTTTTTTTAAGCCCACGTGCAGTGAACAGGAGTTCGGGCTGGGATGGGGAAAGGAACAATAAGAAGGGAAGTTGCATAAGGTACAGTCATTCATAAAGATTCACTATGTATTATATGGGAAAGATAAATTTGAGCAGAATTTTCCTTTTAGAATTTACCTGTGTCACCTTAAAATTTAAAATCTTATATTGAAGTTTTCAGAGCTACTCATGTCAATGCATATTGCAGGTGTAGACAATCAGAATTGTTTAATGTTAACAATTAGGTGTAACCCACTTTGACAGAGTTGTAAGGCAACTGACTTTGTACATGCATATATCCCCAATTCCCATGACAAGGCTGCCCTTTCTATTTAGCTGAAGCAAACTGCTTATTTAACTTTATTACGTTTTAACTGGTCCAAAGTGTTGTGGTTTTTCTTTGTTGTTAGCAAGGTAAATACCTAATCCAGTGTACATAAAGGATTAAAAAGATAGACTGTTGGAATACTATTACACTAGTAATAATTGATAGTTCATTCTGATATACAGTAGAGGCAGTGAGAACAGCGCCTCTACCAGTGGGCCATCATGGCTAGTTGGTTTCAATGCACCCAGAAAGAGCTTATCTCCTCGAAGGGGAGATTAAAGGGGTGGAAACGGGTTCTCTGGAATTTTCCTCGAAATTCTGCGATAGCTCCCGCCCTGAACGAGTGTCAGACTTTCATATAGAGCTGGCAGGGGAGGGATAGCCACTAGAGTAGTTCAAAAGGAAGAATGATAATAGATCGGGATCCAATTCCCGATGACGGGTTTCTGGGAGACTCAGAGGGATGAAAAGGCGATGAAATATGATGAAAAGGCGATGAAATATGATGAAAAGGGCGTTATGATGTGCTAAGAGGCGATGAAGGAGAGTTGAGAAGGTGATAGAATTTTGTAGCAGGGAAGAGGGAGGACAATCTATATCACCCTAACAGATCACCGTTTTCACCTGCGCCAGCATGGTGGTGTTAGATTATGAGCTCAAAGTACTTAGATGTTATTATCTTGATTGCCCCCCCCCCCCCCGGATTGGGCTGAAGGCCTCTTTATGTTGTTGCATCAGGATATGGCTTGGCAGGCTCTTCAGCCTGGATTCTCTCCGGTGCTGAGTCTTGCATCTTACCAAAGCGTGTTTCAACCATCCTACAAATTTATAAAAGGGAATAATGAGATAAGTCTTCTTTAAGTAGCCACCAGAATACTTAATTTATTTCCCCAGACCAAAGAGAGCAGTGAAGTCATATGTGTACCCAAATACAAATGATGATAATCTAAGTAATCTGCGTTTTAAATTAAATATCATGGAATATTTTATATAAGATTAAATAAATATATAATTATATTTTAAATATATTAAAAATAATTTAAGAAATACGCCATTAATCATGAATTAATAATATCAACATATTTGTTGACAGTCTCGATCACCCTTTAATTATTTTTATTAGATTTGACACCTCATTAGGTGTAGGTTGCCTGCATTGAGTTGGAGACATCTTTGTCATAGTTATTAGTTTTGGTATATTAAACTTTTGAAGTTTCCTTCCATACGATTGCCTACGGGGGGGGGGGGGCTAGCTCTTGACTCGGGTTTGTTATAGAATCTTTATTTACTCGACAGTGTGATAATGGCAGAGACGCGATGTTTGCATCCACACACTCGACACTGTCTAGCGGTGAGCTAAGCGAGCTATGGTGGTCTATTAGGGTCACTAGGATTTCTCCATATATGGAATTATTTACTCAACAGTGTGATGATAGCAGAGACGCGATGTTTGCGTGCACATCCACACGACACTATCCAGCGGTGAGCTAAACGAGCTATGGTGGTCTATTAGGGTCACTAGGATTTCTCCATATGTGGAATTTGTTTACTCAACAGTGTGATGATAGCAGGGACGCGATGTTTGCGTGCACATCCACACGACACTATCCAGCGGTGAGCTAAGCGAGCTATGGTGGTCTATTAGGGTCATTAGGATTTCTCCATATGTGGAATTTGTTTACTCAACAGTGTGATGATAGCAGGGACGCGATGTTTGCGTGCACATCCACACGACACTATCTAGCGGTGAGCTAAGCGAGCTATGGTGGTCTATTAGGGTCACTAGGATTTCTCCATATATGGAATTTATTTACTCAACAGTGTGATGATAGCAGGGACGCGATGTTTGCGTGCACATCCACACGACACTATCTAGCGGTGAGCTAAGCGAGCTATGGTGGTCTATTAGGGTCACTAGGATTTCTCCATATATGGAATTTATTTACTCAACAGTGTGATGATAGCAGGGACGCGATGTTTGCGTGCACATCCACACGACACTATCTAGCGGTGAGCTAAGCGAGCTATGGTGGTCTATTAGGGTCACTAGGATTTCTCCATATATGGAATTTATTTACTCAACAGTGTGATGATAGCAGGGACGCGATGTTTGCGTGCACATCCACACGACACTATCTAGCGGTGAGCTAAGCGAGCTATGGTGGTCTATTAGGGTCACTAGGATTTCTCCATATATGGAATTTATTTACTCAACAGTGTGATAACAGCAGAGGCGCGATGTACAACATTTTTTTTAATTATATCAATTAATGAAATCACGCAAATATATAGGATTAAATATATATTTAAAATATATATGTATATATATATGTATATCTCGATCACCTTTAATTATTTTTATTAGATTTGACACCTCAGTAGGTGCAGGTTGCCTGCATTGAGTTATGTTATTGGTTTTGGCGTATTAAATTTTTGAAGGCTCCTTCCATATGATTGCCTGTGGGGGGTAGCTCTTGGCACGGGATCTCGTTTATGAGTAGAATACCTTGAATTTGAAAATATATATATATTTTTTGGCTGTTGAAGATTGGAATAATTTTTTACCTCCACATATGGTTTTCTATGTTTGGATTTTCCATATATTTTTTTTTCGAAACGCGAACTTCACATTATTTTAAGAACATGATTAAGAAAGACTTCTTCCCTTCCTTCTGTTTTGTATTCCCTACTTCGCCCGCCTCTATGGGTCCTGATACTACCGTTGCAACCAGGATGAAAGACTAATACCTAGCTCCTGTAGATCCAACAACTGAGGACCATGCCTGCTGATAAAGAGAATGCCACAGCTGTCCAGGCCCAGCTGCCCTCCATGCTGTAAAACCTGGAGAAGTTTGAAGGGAAGGGTATAGTCCCCTTCACAAAATTCATAAAGGATTTTGAGCTCGTCTACGATCTAAGGGCCCTGGACGACGCCAGGAAAAGGATCCTCTTGGACAACCACCTCCGGGGGGCTGCGAGGGAGTTTGCCCTACAGTCCCAACAAATCCGCCTCGGATACGAAGAGTTGAAGGAGAGTCTAGAAGGGCGGTTCCGAAAGAGGGTCTCTACAAGGGAAATGAGGAGTCAGTTCTTCTCATGTAGACAGAGAGCCGGAGAGAAAGTACGGGACTTCGCCGCGCGAGTGAGTGACCTTGCAGCGGGAGCAGAGTCGGATGGCCTGAAGATAGGCATCTCAGAGGTCGCAGAGGTTTTCATCGACGGGCTCTGTCCCAGCCTGTGGGAAAAGGCTCATCTATACCAAGGCGAACCCTGGGAGACCCTAGTTACCAAGCTACAGTGGCTGGAACAAAGACAGGAGGACTACAGGGAGGCGCAACGCTCCAGCGTCGACAGGAACGGCCAGAGGCAGGGTGACATGGGTAACAAATTGGCCGAGCTGGAGAAGAAGATGGAGGCACTAGAAATCGAGAATGCAGCCCTTAGGAGACAAAGAGGGAGTACCAATAGAGCAAATAACGGAGGAGGAAGGTGGCCATCACACCCCGCAGGAAGAAGGGATTACGGAGATAACACCGAGGATAACAGGAGGGGAGCTCCCTTCAGGGACTGGCAAAGGAGACCTACACAACAACCATCCAGGCAACAGCAGAACCCGCCTCCACCCAGACAAGAAAGGAGACATCCTAACGGTGAAAGGGAGGAGAACCCTGGAGGGGAATATAAGAAACAGGATGTAAGGAGGCCACCACCCAAATGTTACAGGTGCGGTGAGCCAGGATACCTCATCAGGGATTGCCAGCAGACACAGAGAAAAAACTAGGTCCGGCTTGCCTCAAGGCAGGAGGGGGATTTGCGGCCAGTTTGCCTGCCATAAATGTACATATATTAAATAAAGGGAGGTCTCTGAGTGAGAGAACTCTAAAATTTATCATAGACTCGGGCTCAGAGGCCAATATTGTAAATATAGATAATTTAAATTTATGCACTGAGGGGCTAAACAGACCAACTTACCTTAAGGGTATAACAGGAAAATCTTTAAAGTCATTAGGGAGTGAAGTATTAGAGGTAGGGGCAATGGTAAACGGTAAGCCCATTAGGGAGGTAAGGACGACTTTTGAGTATTGCCACATGGGAGAAATAGGTCTTGATGGCATACTCGGATTACCGGGTTTCCGAGCCCTAAAGCTGCACCTCAGCTACGACGGTAGTATTAGATCCGATTACGAAAGGAAGGAAGATCCGACCAAGTCGGCCTTTCTTTCCTCATTACAGACGATAGAATTGTCTCCTCAGCCACCCAGGATACCCTTAAACGAAATCCCACAGGCGAAGATATTTTCAAGGCTTTCAGCCATTGTTTTTGTAGGGACATAAGGGATATGGGGAATGGTTCCACCATCACAGCCCCTAAACTGAGAATGCTGACTAGCAAACCAGTATATAGGAGGCAATATCCGATCCCGAATAGGTTAGTCTCAAAGGTGAAAACGTTAGTAGACGAACTGGAAGAAGTAGGGATAATAGAAGGGAGTACCTCTCTATGGAATTCCCCTCTATTCCCGGTTGCCAAAACTGATGGTAGTGTTCGCATCACCATGGATCTACGTATGATCAATGAGGCAACTGAATTCTTCCCGTTCCCGATACCCCGTGTTGAAGACAATCTGCGCGCATTTGCGGGTGCAAAGGTCTTCAGCACATTAGATCTGACTTCTGGATTCTTCCAGATTCACATCCCGGAGAGTGACAGAGATTATTTTACCTTCTCTCTGCCCTGGGGGAGATACCGCTTCACGCGTTTGCCACAAGGAGCAAAAAAACTCAGCACAAGTCTTCCAGTGGGCCATGAACTTGGTCCTAGGTGACTTGTTGTTTAAATGCGTTCGCCTGTACATCGATGACGTCATTGTCTACAGCGGCTCTCACGAGCAGCATGTAGCGGACCTCGCCGCTGTACTCGAACGTCTGAATAAGTTCGGCTTGAAGGCCAAATACGGGAAGAGCTATCTCTTCAGGGACTCAGTAGAGTACCTGGGTCATGTAATCGACCAAAATGGGTTCAAACCCATGTGGGATAATGTCGCCGCTCTCAGGGATTTGAAAAGACCTCATAACATCAAGGCAGTCAGAAGTCTATTGGGTACAGGTAACTACTACCGACGCTTTATTCCCAACGCAGGTGAGGTCCTGGCTCCACTGAGCAACCTATTAAGGAAGGGACATAGATTTGCTTGGGGTACGATAGAGCAGTCAGCCTTTGAGACGGTGAAGGGAATATTAACCAGCGAGCCACTACTAATCCACCCAACAGTTGGGATACCTTTCATCCTGAACACTGACGCCAGTGGGATAGCGGTAGGCGCTTGCCTCCAACAGGAGGTCAATGGGACAGTGAGGCCAAATGCTTATTATAGCAAGAGACTGACTGGTCCTGAGATCCGCTATTCTACAATAGAAAAGGAGGCCTATGCAGTAGTGTTGTCCCTACAACACTTTAAACACCTCCTGGCGGGCAGTAGGGTAGAAGTACACACTGACCATAAACCGATTACTTATAATAAGGGGTCTGATTATAAGAACGCCCGACTGTCTAGGTGGACAGAGATCATCCAAGACTTCAACGTTACATTCATTTATGTCCCGGGGAAGGAAAACACGGTAGCCGACTTTCTTAGTAGGTTCCCGTGCGAGGATGATCCAAACCTATCACAAGATAGGAGGGTGGTGGCCGCGGTGGTAAGAGACCGTCGGCCCCCCTTATTAGATAGTAATCAGATATGGGAAGGCTTGCTTCAAGAGAAAGGATGGGCCCCAGTAATAAATAGGTTATTGAAACAAAAATCGGGAGGTATAGAAAGATATAATAGCCGAGAGTATAGGCTACAAGACAATTACCTCGTTACAAAGAATGAGAAGGGTACCTGGGTGAAGGTGGTTCCTACAGGTTTTAGGGAAACAGTGATCAGCTATCATCATGACATCCCTACTGGAGGTCATTTCGGAGTTAGAAAGGTTATGAGAAGGCTGAAGGGCGACTATTACTGGCCTGGTATGAGGACTCAAGTCCGGAAATATATACGCAGATGCGGGAGCTGTCAGCTATCGAATCAAGGCGTAACCAAAGCCGCTAATGCTCCTCACTTTAGGCCCGAAAAACCCTTTGAACACCTAGCTCTAGACTTCATAGGACCATTAGAAGTAACCCCAAGAGGTTATTCGAGTATTCTGACCATTGTGGATCTATTTACTAAGTTCCCAATTCTGATTCCTACTAAGGACCAGTGTGCCAATACAGTGGTTAGGGCCTTGTTGGAAAGGATAATCACTACCTTTGGAGTACCAAAAACGATACTCTCTGACCGAGGTTCGGCATTCATGAGTTGCGTATTCAAGGGAGTTTGCAAGGCCATGGGGTTTGGAGCAGTAAATACCACAGCCCGGAGACCTCAGAGTAATGGCGCCGTAGAAAGGCTCAATAGGACGGTAATAGAATCTCTACGCAGGTGTACAGCGGGGAACAATTGGGATACCACCTTGCCAATGGTAGCCTTAGCTATCAGGACCACTGTACACTCTAGTCCTGGATTTACTCCAGCGAAACTGGTCTTCGGACATGAGCTGAGGCTTCCACAACCTTTCCAGGAAGAGGAGCTTAATCCTATATGCGAAGATTCAATGACTGAAATGGCGGCCTTCTATGAGCGGGAATTGGTGAAGGAGGTTGAAAAAGCGAGAGAGGTGGTGAGGCAAACTTACTTGAAGGGGCAACAAGAAGCCAGGGCTGAGTTTGAAGCTAGAGAGTTAAGGACCTTTGAGACAGGGGATCTAGCTTTGGTAAAAAGAATGCATGAGACGAAAGATCGTCATAAATTTGAGCCAAGGTACAGGGGACCATATGAGGTACTACAAAGGACAGGTGACACGGTTTACCTTTTGAAAGATTTGGAGACAGGGAACTTAGATAAGATCCACATAGACAGAATGAAGGCCTATCATGCCCCGATAAAGACTTACCCTATGGGGGACGAAGACGTACAAGAACAAATAGATGGTGTCATTGATGATGAGGATCACTGAGTACATCCAACGTATCCTATATATTCCCATAGAATTGTAGAACCAGAAGGACCACGAGAGACAGTAATCTTAGGGAACCCGCTAGAGACAGTGAATAGGACAATTGGTGGCAATGTTGACGGCACTGAAATACGCCGTTCGACCAGGGTGAAGAAGCCCACCGAGTGCAGATCATGTCCGGGTTGCCAATGATTTAAACCTATAGAATGTGTACTAGAGCTAGTTGAATTTTGATCATAGTAAAATGTGTTAGAACGCGAGTTAAAGACCGTAGTCTGTGGTTTTGGAGAGTTTCCGTTTTTTTTTTTTTTTTTTTTTCTACAACCTCATGTTTGTGTTAAATGTTCATTGTACGGAGTTTTCAGTTTTTTTTTATTGAAGATTATGAACAGTGGTTCAACTTCAAGATTAATTAGGAAACTTAGATGCTTTAGATATCTGCTGTGCTTGTAACCAATTCTCTGTGGACAGACTTGAAACATGTGCTGGGTAAACAGTCCCTATAACTCCTTGATTTTAAGTCATAGTCTAAAAGGGGTTTCTAATGAGAGTATGTAATGCAGTTACAATCTAAGAATTGATATGATAGAGCAACAAGTAACCTCTGTTGTTAAACTCCAGAACGAGCTGGGTACCAAAAGCCCTATAAGTCCAAAGAAAGAGTTTAGCTGAATAGCAGAGAAAGAAGAAGCGTTGGCAAAACACTTGTAGACCTATCATATTCGGCAATGAGGTAAATGCTTGAAGTTCAGTTCGCTCCATTTAAGTGCTAGTTTTGATTATTCGTTTGTCTAGACACCAAGTGTCAAGATAAGAAGATTTTCAAACTGTTAGACACACATTTAAAGTGTTAGGTTAGATTTCAGCATTTGGTTGTTAACAATCATTTTTACTAATTTGTTTAAGTATAAAGAAAGTTTATCTATGAGTAGATAATTTATATAGAGTTTGTATGAGGCATTTATTTAAGTCAATAGGGCTTTAGTCCCCACTTTGTTTTAATTAGATAACTTTATTTGATTTCTCACCGGTCCTGAAAGACTTTATTATTGTTAGGGTTTATTTGATAGACATAATTGGGTGTTTTGGCGTCTATAGCAGCTTTTAACTTTAGAATGAATGCCCACAATGACTGAAATTTTTTTATGTATGAATGTGAAGTGGAATAAATGATGAGAAGGTTAGAAACAATTATACTGTTAGACCAAAATTACTTTAGCATAGGGTTAGAGAACCAATAGATTCAATTTTAATTTTGATTTCTGTATTTGTTAGGAACGATAGCCTCACAGGACTATACATCTCTATTGTTAGAAAAATATTCGCTCCATTTTGATTAGATCTCCTTTCAAAGGAGTATGAGCAGGATTTCTTTATTAGAGTATTCAAGTACTCTTTTTTTTTTTTCATTATATCAACTTGAACTCTAAGAGTCGTAGGCAATGACCATGTCTCGATTCTCAGACTGGGGATTTGTGGAAGGTCACGGTCAGGCCAAAAGCCTGCAAGTCCCCTCCTCATTAGAGGGAACGGAGAGGTATCAGGTGAACTTTGTGCTAGGTGGGGGGATTCAGTTGCCGACGTCGCAGACTAAGTGTACAGCGACGAAAACCTCGGGTAACCGATCTGACATCGTAATTTACGACGCTTTAAGCGTGACTGAGATGAGGGTGGTTCAGACGGGAGGTTGAGAAGGTTCGGCGCGTTGAAGCTCCTCTATAAATTGCGCAGCTTGGAACCAATCCCCTATAGACAGAAACTTCGAAACATGTGCTGGGTAAACAGTCCCTATAACTCCTTGATTTTAAGTCATAGTCCAAAGGGGGTTTCTAATGAGAGTTAACAATGAGAGAGCGTGGAAGAGACAAATTACGATTAGACGAGGCGATTCCGTCTACAGATTTTTAGGTTCCAGTTAGCAAAGTGACAGATGGACTGTCCGGATTCTTTGCGTTTTATATCGCCCCAGGCTAGCAAGAGTTATTCACTTAATTAAAGACTATTAGTCTACCATACGTTTAGTTAGAACGAATTTAAGTCTAAACATCAATTAGTATGTAAATTTTTTTTTTCGAGAGCAACTCATTATGAGATAGGATAAATTTTAAATTAGTAGAACACAAAATGAACTTTTTTTTAAGCAGATTGCCAGAACAAGCCAATATAGCGTTCCAGATTTGAAGAGGAATTTTTTTTTTGGAAGATCGAATATAATTTTTTTTTGTTTTGACGATAAATGGCCTAGAGCAATGGGTTATATTGACCTAGTTTTCTATTCATCATAATTTATTTCAGAGTTAGTTTGGGTATTTTATTAAGGGGATTTGTTGGTCAAAAATTTATGTGTACACATTCTATGGATAAGCTAAACAATATATAGTAGGGGTTAACTACATGTTCAAATAAAGTACAAAGATGGGAGAGATTTCAACCACAGGTAATGTAATTTGGAAGTAATCTGGTAGTGAGATGTTTTCTTTTGTATTAAGAGAGGCAGGGAACACGCCAGACAAACACTCCCAGTGACAAGTTAGTAAGTACAAGTTTTATCTTTGTTAGATATTACACGAGTTTTGAGATACTAGTGAGATGACCTGGATCCCTCAGTGCATATCTATTCGTTTTATTATTTTTATATACCATATACCATATATTACCTTTTTTTATTATATCCATGTATATTTGTATATATAGAAAGCACGATTCGTATAATAGATGTGTGGCATTTTGGTAGCAGCGTTGTTACCATCTTCAGGAAAAATGCACTAAACAAGCTTTAATCACGGCATATATTATTTTTTTTGTGTATTTACCATAATATTCCCATAACAGTGTTTTTTTTTAAATATCATACTTTTCAAGAAGTTTGGCATATTTACTATACAGTGGTAATATTTACCCATTTAATGTATCACCCACCATGCTTACCCTTCTCCATTAATTACCAGCATGTATGTTCATATATAGATAAGTCACAGTTCAAGCTTTAGACTACAAAAAGATAAGAGAACAAGACCGATCCCAGAACAAATAATTGATAAGAGTGACATTTTGGTAGCAGCATTGTTACCATCTTCGGACAAATGTACCGAATAAAGATTTTAATCACAATTTATTTATTCATTTGTATTCATTATATATATATATATATCAAACCATTCCTTTTTTTTCTACTTATAGTAAATATCCATTTTAATATTTTTTTAATTTTTATTTTAACATCGCGTATATCTACATTGCTCCATTTTTGGCATACATCGTATCCGTGCAACTCTAATATGTATATTCACTTCCCACGTTTCTGTTTTGCCCTATTATTATTAATGTCATCGATAGGAGCTGCAACTTTAGTTTCTTTTTCTTTTACTATCATTGTCATTATGACCATGTATAGCCATTCCTTTGCTGTCATATGTATCATATAGAGTTAATAAAATTTTTTTTTTAGATGTGTTTTAGGAATTGGGCATATCTACAATACACACACAATTCCTTGGCGCCCATAATTATTATGTTAACCCGAATGGCATAAGAATCTGTTTGCACAGAATCTGTGTATAGACCACCCCATCTCCACCCACAGGGACTGCGGTCGGGGATGTGTGGATTCGACTCACATCTGGGTCAAGACTCCCTGGAATACAGACAGCAAAAGGATGGGCTTAGTACATTGCCCATAGAATGGTAGGGTAGAACTTCCTTCTGTAATTACGATGAATTAACCTGCCCCAGGTTCCATGGCCCGTCTGTTTCCCCTTGCCGGAGTGTCAGTGATTGCATATTGGTATCGTAAAAGAATGCATTTCTCCCAATTTCATATTTCTCATGGAATATTTGATCAGATATGAATTGAAATAAACACATTCTTTCACTCTGGCAGGGGAGGAATTGTTAGGTCAGATTTTTCCACCAAACAGACCCAACAAAGATGTAAACATTCTTTTACATCCTATGTACATACACGCAGTGTCTCGCCGAAAGTGTTTGGTGTACAGATGGATGTCCCACGACAATGGCCGACGGTGGTTAAAAGACCAAGCCGGGGGGGGGGGGGGAGGCACAGCCCTGGACGCGTATTCCAAGATCTGCTATAGGAGGATGATATCGGCTCTGATTAAATAGCCAGAAGCTCGATGCAAACAGAAGCAGAAGTTCACCCACAACATAAACAGAAAGCCGATGGACATTGGAGAAGCCACCTCAACAAGAAGAAATGGACGTCGAGCATTCATCTCTGTAAAACCTCACTTCTTTTAATTTGTATATAACTTGTGACATCACATTTTGATAGATGGGGCCTAGCTAGCAATATTGTTGGACTTCTTAAAGAAGAAATTAGCATATAAGTTTCCCAAGGGGGGCAGCATCCTAAAATTGTATTTTGATTCCTTTGTTAATTTAAATTATCTCTCAATAAGACAGATAAATTCTAAATTTTTGGTTAATATTTATTTTAAATTGATTTCTCATAAGCCGAGCAAGAATATTTTTCTAATTCATAATTTTTCCTTTAAAATAAAAATTTAATAAAATATTATTTTTTTCCTTAAATTTTAACTATAATAATATTTTTTATTTTTTAACATTTCGAGAATTTTGTATATTCAAGATTTATTATTCTGTGGGAATTTGGGATTGAGGGCGCTGAAAAAAAAGGGATAGGGGGGCTAGATTTTTTTGGTGGGCTGGACCGCGCGACCAGTCAGTATTGACCAAGTTTTCGGAAGGGGCACATCAGATTTCTCATCGGGAGATAGGTATGTAGTCGAGATGTTTAGGTAAGTTTTAATCTAGATTTTGTTGTAAAGGTCTATATAGAAAACATGGCGAAGCCATGATAGATGTAAAGGATTTTTTTTTTTTGCCTAGCCAACATGTCTTGCCATCCATGGCGAGTTTATATGGTGAGAGGGACATATCCATGCTTTGATAGGTAAATTATTTCTTGCCCAAGCAAGGTCACCTTTGAAATGAGGTGTTATAGATTTATATTGTGTTAAATAAAAACCATAGCAATGCAAGGTTTAGATAGACCCTACGATTTTAGCTATGTCCTTTTTGTATTTAGAAATTTAGGGTATTAAACTTGTTAAGAATATTGAATTTTTTTGTTTTTGCCTAATTATGTCATGTCATAGTAAATACAATTTGTTTTATTTTGTGTAAAATTCTTTTCTTTGTCGAATAAAGTTGATGCGGTAAATTATATAATGTGTATTAATATTCATATCAAACCACATATCACACATAAACCTTGGTGCGTATGTTATAGATATTGAGTGTATTGTAAGAAGTTTATTGCCTTACCATAAACTGTGAATATGTATGCACCTGGATTTTCCCATGAGTTAGATGAGATCAAGATATAGATGTCTTAGTGAGACTTAAGGACAAAAACCTTACAATCGATGCTCAATTACAAGTCACATGTAAATCCGGGTGTATACAATATTTACCGTATATGATGGAATGTAAGAGCGAATCTTACGTCCCAAATTTTATCTTGAAACAAATTACATATTTTGATTATTAATATGGATCTTTGTGTTCGTCGTACCATATCAAGTGTATATCTGAGTGTAATCTTAGTTATTACACATGTTGATGTAAGCATTTGGCGAGTGTTACATTTGTGGATTCCTCTTACATTACATTTGGAAATATATATCTATATATATACATACGATGAATATAGTATACGCCCAGATTTACATGTGACCTATAGTTGAGCACCAATGTAAGATTCACTCCTACATCTAGATGACTAAATTCCATCTTTTGACTTAGACATGCAAATGTAACACTCGCCAAATGCTTACATCAACATGTGTAATAACCAAAATTACATTCAGATATACACTTGATATGGTACGAAGAACACAAAGATCCATATTAATAATCAAAATATGTAGTTTGTTTCAAGATAAAATTTGGGACGTAAGATACGCTCTTACATTACATCATATACGGTAAATATTGTATGCACTCGGATTTACATGTGACTTGTAATTAAGCATCGATTGTAAAGACATCTATATCTTGATCTCATCTAACTCATAAAAAATCCAGGTGCATACATATTCACAGTTTATGGTAAGGCAATAAACTTCTTATAATACACTCAATATCTATAACATACGCACCAAGGTCTATGTGTGATATGTGGTTTGATATGGACATTAATACACATTATATAATTTACCGCATCAACTTTATTCGACAAAGAAAGGGATTTTAAAAAAAATTAAAACAAATTGTATTTACTATGACATGACATAATTAGGTAAAAACATAGAAAATCCAATATTCTTAACAGGTTTAATACCCTAAATTCCTAAATACAAAAAGGACATAGCTAAAATTATATGGTCTATCTAAATCTTGTACTGCTATGGTTTTTATTTAACATAATATAAATCTATAACGCCTCATTTCAAAGGTGATCTTGCTTGGGCAAGAAATAATTTACCTATTGAAGCATGGATAAGTCCCTCTCTCAATATAAACTCGCCATGAATGACAAGACGTCTTGGTTAGGCAAAAAAAAAATCCTTTGTATCTATCATGACTTCGTCATGTTTCTATATAGACCTTTACAACAAAATCTAGATTAAAAAAACTTACCTAAACATCTCGGCTACATACCTCTCCCCCGATGAGAAATCTCATGTGCCCCTCTCGAAAGCCTCGTCAATACTGACTGGTCCTTGGTCCAGCCCCCCAAAAAAAAATCTCGCCCCCTATCCCTTTTCTTCAGCGCCCTCAATCCCAAACTCCCACAGAATAATAAATCTTGAATATACTAAATTCTCGAAATATTAAATAGAAAAAATAATATTATTATAG